CGACATGAAAATTCTAGCAGTCATTCTTGTTGAACGTTTCATGGGCAATGTTGAATCAAAGTTTCTTGCCATGATTGTCGTGCGAACATAGTATATGGATGGGTGAAAGATACATTCAATCGCATTTTTAAAAAAAAAAAAAAAATTAAAAGCCATTTTTCAAAGCATTGAATATTTTTATCCGAGTATGACGCTACTAGGATGCTATGTTCAGTATATTAAATTGAATTGTCAAAAATATATCACATGTATCCTTTTTTAGATTACGCTTAAAGTTCATAAGGATTTTATTTCATAACATAATTCATTGATTTTGATAAAGCTTCAACACAAACTTATGTTTCTCAGGATTCGATGGTGGGGGCAGGTGTAAGGTGTGAGAGTACTGGGATACATAATTATGTCCATCAATTATAACGATAATATAGATATTTAAAGATTTAACTAAATTAGTGAATCATATAAGTTAAACTAATTAAACTTATATATTATTACAACCAACAATTACACCTAGAATAGAGAATAAAAGCTCCAAGTAGATTCATGATTATTATATTAGATTAGTGCATATTATAAAGCTAAATGACTAAATGAATACATAAATTGATAGCAATGTCCAGCAATTGTAAATATAATAATTATAATTGTAGAGTAGGGATTAAGCCATAGATTCATCAACAATATCTATTAGAATAATTAATCCAATCCAATACGGTTGAACAGTTCATGGGGTATACTGAACAGTCCGCATCAATGTTGAATCTGTTGGGAAAAAAATGAATTGAAGGGCTGGATTTGGGCATAAATTTTGAGTGGTAACCGTTTTGGAAGATCAAAATTGATTTGTGTTTTCCTCTGTGAAAATATCGAAATCATATATTTACTTACCAAAAATGATACTATGGTGAATGAGAAATTAGAGCTTAAAGTGATGCATTAGAAGATGTTTTGTATTAGAAGGAAAACTATTTTAAAGTTATCTCACATAGGATAATAGATAAAGACGATGACCACTTTAAATATTATTACATTTTGGAATGGTGTAATTATATGTACCATAGAAACTCTCTCCAATCGTGCGCGCAAAGGATGCAAATCACGTATATTTTACCATACTTTTCTTTAAAAAGCTGAAATTGCGTCGTTTTCAATTTTTACCCGTGCCTTACTAATAGTTTAGAAATATATAAAGCCAATTCAAGAAGGGTAACATATTGTGCTACTTTGTGGCTAAATCTTTTATAAAATAAAAGCTAATATAAAATCAAAATAAAATCGATTTCCAAAGTTTAAAATAAAGATTCAAAAGTCTGAAATCCATTTTAGAAGTTCAAATAAGTATAGAACTTTGAGACAGATTCTCCCTCGACGAGGGACTGCAGCAAGTTACCAGCTGGTAACACTAACACGTGATGACAGAATTTTTTGTATCCTATTTTAGGGTGAATCTGTTGGGGATTGATTAAAAACCGAATGAAAAAGAAGGAATATCGAATGCTCAAAATTATATGTAATATAGTGCTGCTGCACTTTTTATGATTGTAGAAGAGAAGATATTATATTGTAAATTTTTGTGACTTCGATGCTTTTAATGGCTTGAGTTACATGGGTATTTATAGATAAGATTTAACATGTATATAGCCTAACTCATGAACCAACATTAAATAGATACGTTTCTCCTCCTCTAGTACATTAATGGACAAATGCATGTATAATTATAATTCATGAATCTAGATAATAAATGCAAATTACGTTTCCAACACCCCCTCTTAATTTGCAATTTTGAGAATGTCTCTTGCCTTTTGAAATTTCTCGACATAGATCGCCTTGGTTAGAAAGTTTGCGGGTTGCTCATTCGTTCCAATGAATTCCAAGCTTGTGGTTTCAAGAGATGTTATTTTTGATGAAATAGGATCATGGAGTTGGGAAGGAAATTCGTCCAAATTGATATCTCAAGAGGAGTTCTACGATGCATCAAATTTTGAGGATGAACTTGGTCATGTTAGTCCACCTCAAAGTCCAAATCCTCGCCCACCAAGATCGTCGGTTCGAGATGAAAGTTCAAGTTCCGATTCACCGATTAAAGGCGATTACCAGAAGTTATAGGATTGTAAAGGCGATAACCTTTTGACTCATCACTATAGCCAATGAAAATAAGCTTCTCACTTTTTTCATCGAATTTATCTCTATTTGGAGTAGAGATATGAGAATATGCAATGCTGCCAAAAATCTTCAAGTGATCAACTACGGGCTTTTTCTTGTGCCAAGCTTCAAACGGTGTTCGGTTTCGAACGGCCTTTGTTGGGCATCGATTCAGAAT